ATGGCTCCTTTCTTGCCACAGAAGAGGCTCCAACCCAAGTTTGGTCCGCTCTGATCCTGAGCCGGCTGGGGCGGCCGGGACGCAGCCTGCGTGTCCTGCACCACCCGGCAGCAGCCACGCCCCGGCAGGGAAGAGAGGGTGGATCCGCAGGGGCCGGGCGTGGGCAGGACTGGCCACCAGGACACCATGTCTTCATTCCCGCCTTCATCACTCGCCACCCAGGTCACACCGCAGCCACTCTGAGACCCAAAGGTCCACACCTGTAAGATGGGAATGACAATATGTCACGGCAACGGAAATGACCAGTGAAGAGATGCCGAGTGCCTGAGTCACACCAGGCACTATTCTGGCTTCTAGGGACACTGCAGAGGGCACAGCGCCTGTGTCCTGCGTGCGTACGCGGTGTGTATCGCCCAAGGCTTCACGCCAGGCTGAAGCGTGAGGGTGCAAGGCACAGTTTGCTTTAGAGTCTCAGGAGGACCGAGATGCCTGGGCCAGGTGTGAGCCCAGGAAGAGGCTAGGAGGGTCCAGCCTGGGAGCCAGCTAGTGACCAGTGTAAGCACAGGCAGCATGAGGGGACATGTGGCTCAGTGTCCCTGGCCCCAGGATTGGTCAGACACTGTCAATGAAGCAGCTCTTCTGGGCAGCCCGGGTGGGCTTAGGGCCCACCATCATTCCTACATTTCAGGCTAGTTTTGACCCTACCCTGACCCTGGCCCGCTTCTGAGGATAAGCAGAGGGGGTTTGGTCACTCCGTCAACGCAGCAAACGGCCCCGAGGGGCAGAGCAGGAATGGATTGGGCTGGGCAGACCCTATACCTCTGTGTGACAGGGCCTGAGTCACAGGGAAGTGAGGGCTTTGAGGCCTGCAGGGAAGAATTTAAACAGGACACTCGCCTTTGAGGTGGTCAGGGACTGACCTCGTGTGTGGCCAACTGTACCAGAGGTTCTGAGAGAAAGAGCTGAATGGGGTCTCCCCAGGAGTAATGGTGCTGTGGACCACTGCCCCCCTCCAACCTTCCCTGCCCTCCCCAGCCTCTCAGGGCCTGTGCTTCCCTCTCAGGACAGTTCTCTTTGGTCTATTTTGCTCCTAAGGACTTCATAACAGGAAGGTCATCTTTCCAGGGGAAATCAGGACTCCAAATCCCATGACAATATAACCCATAGTTGCAGCATAACAAGCTACTCAGATTTAGTGGATTAAAACACCAACCACTCTGTTATGTCTCGTGCTGCTGTGGGTCAGGGTTCAGGCAGGGCTTGGCAGGTGATCCTTCCATTGCACGTGGGGTCTGGGGGGCTCACTTGGCGCCATTTAGCTGGGCTGGGCTGGGTGGTCTGTGGGCTGCACTTGCTTCCTTGTGCTTAGATGGGAACAGCTGGGACGTGAGGCCTGGCTGGCCACTCTCTGTCTCCATGGAGTCCCTCCAGCAGTGGTGTCGGCCTTCCTACTGCCAGACTGAGTGTTCCAAGGGCTCAGGTGGAATCTGCAGAGCCTCTGTGACCCAGCCCCAGAGAACATCATCTCCTTCGAGTTGCGTGGACCAGGCCACTTTAATCAGCCCATACTGGAAGGGCAGGGAGAAATTCCCACCCCTCGGAAGGGGAATGCTGTGCATGTTCTCAGAGGGGCGGATTGAGGGACCTTCCTGGAGACAATTGGCCGCCCCAGAGTTTCACAATGTGGAATTTAGAACTAGGCATATCTGGGTTCAAGTCCTGGCTCCTTTTCTTACCTCGAAAATCTGAGGCAAGTTATGTAATTCCCATAAGATTGTTTCAACATCTGCAAACTGGGAATGATGACACTCCATCCTGTAAAGCATTGATCAAAGGGCATGGCAACTATTTAATGGTTCAATGTTTAAGATATTTGGCGAGTGGTCTGAGTGCCAGACCCTGTGAGGGGGAGGCAGGTGCTAGCTGTGCCAGAGAGTGAACCAGTGTGATGGTTGGGCACAGTGGGACAGGTGCTAGCTCAAGCCTGGTTCCACTGTGCACAAGTGTCTCCACTGCCCTGTGCCTCAGTTTCCTCGTCTGTGAAATGTAGATGCGACAGTAACGGTGCTGGCTTCATAGGAACAGTAACAGGATTGGATGAGACAGACAAAGTCTCAGTGCTCCTTGCAGTTCTAGATGTCATGACACTCAGTAGATGTCAGTGGCTGTTCTTATTCACTTGAATTATTTCTAATCCACACAACAATAATGCAAAGTAGATATTTTCATCTCATTTTATGCATAAGGAAACTCAGGGGAAAAACAAAAGTGTCTTCCCAAAGGTTCCAATGCTAGTAAGATGAAGAGTTAAACTAAGGTCAAGATAACAAGAGAAAACGAGAATGTGGCAATTGGGGGCAGGAAATAGGCTAAGGACGTGTTGGGGACAGAAAGACAGGAGAGTGTTTGGAAAGAGGTGAGAAGGGAGAGGCTGGCTAGAGAAGGTTTACAGACCTGAAAGGGAGATTGCAGGGCACAAAGAAAAGAAGGGGAGGAAGGTTGTAGGAAGAAATTTAGAAAATGGACTAGGAAATGGTTATGAGAGACAGAAAAATTTGGAGAGATTCATGATACAGTGTTTCTATAAAACAGATATTTGGCATAGGTTCTTTTGGGAAATGTATCCGATTGTGACTTGGATTTTAATGAAGTTAAAATTCATTGACTTACAAATATATGGTTTGAGGATGGATATAATTTCTTTATAGAACTCGAGCAGTAAAAAGTTGAACTCTCAAGGAAATAATTAGGACAATAATAGTAATTAAAAAAGTCATGCGCCCAAATGACCCAGAATTAGAAGAATAATGTTGAATCAGATGGCGCCAGTTGGGATGTGACTCCAGTCTCATCTGTTTAGCTGTCTGCCTGTGGGGCGGCTGGCGGCATACAGGACTTGGAGCTCGGGCCACCAAGGGGGCAACTGGGAAGCTCAGGAGTGCACGTGCCTGAGGGGGAGTCTCCACAGTGCCAGAAGCACAGATGCCCCTGCTGTGGGCCAGGCAGTTCCCACCCCAGATATATGTGTGTTTGTATGTGTGGGTGTAACACATACACACAAGTATATATACACACGTATGAATATACTCCCACAAATATATATACACACATATACACTACTACACACAAATCTATATGCACAGCACACAAATCTATATACACACGTATATATACACACACATACACACACGCATAGACATGCAAATATACACAAATACATATACACAACACACAAATATATATATACATACACAAGTATATATACACACATACACACATACATATGACACACAAATATATATACCCACAAATATACACATACGTATATATATACACACATATGTATACACACATAGACATACAAATACACACAAATACATACACACAACACACAAATATATACACCCACAAATATACACACACAATTATATATACACACATATGTATACATAAATATACACACAAATACATATACAAAACACACAAATATATATACCCACTCAAATATATATATATATACACATACATATATATTCATATGAATATACTCACATCTATATAATCCAAATTTCTATACATCCACAAATATACATATACACACACATAATTATATACACACACTAGTATATATGCCCACATACATATACTCACATATAGATACACAAATTCAAGCACACAATTATGTATATACAACACACAAATATATATACCTACAAATATATATACACACATACATGCACAAGTATATGTACATACAAATATATACAAATACATACAAATATGTTAACTGTTTGTGCGTATATACATGCATACACATTTGCATTTCCTTGATGGTTAATGTGGCATTTTAATCAATTGTTGAAAAGGATGTGAAGCAAATTCTACTACAAGCCCAATGTCAGTTTAAGTCTGCGGAACCACTGGAAATGTTCTTGAGTGTGTCCACCCAAACAGAGCATACATTTAATCTCTGACCCAGAAGTTCCATTCCAGAAATACGTACAGGTTTGCACCAAAGACATATACAGGAATGTTTATAGTGGCGTTTTTGTAATAACAAGAAATTGGAAACAGCTCAAATGCCCATCAATAGTAGAATGGATGAATGCCGTCTGGAACATTTTTACAGTGGAATACTGCGTAACAATAACAGAACACATTACTGCCAAATGCAATTAATATGGATGAATTTCACAAGCAAGATATTAGTGAAAAGGAACAGACACAAAAGAGTGCCTTGTCGATGGTTCCATCTGTATAAAGTCAGAGAGATACAAAATGAACCTCTGATGCTAGAACCCGGGGTAATGGCTGTCCCTGGAGAGGGGGGGCTGTCAGTAGGACGGGGACTGGGGAAGGGTTCCGGGTGCTGGACATGTTCCCCAGCTCGATCTGGGTGAGAGCTGTCCTGCTTGGACTGCACCCAGCTGCTGCCTTGCCTCTCCTCTACGTATGTTACACTTTGACACAAACTTTACTTACAAATAAGACAAGAGAACACCCCTCTATGCTTCCCACTTGTCATTATCCTAAGTGTCAAATCTTCCCTTCTAGGATGGGAGAAACTGGTACAAATAAATCAATAATTATAACAAATATAGTTTGACAAAATCCATCAGTGAAATGACAAAAATTTTCAAATTACACAATAACGTGCAGGTCTATCCTGTTTGCAAGAGGCTCGCCCAGAACCCAGTTACAGGAGAGAGTCGAAAGCAGGATAATGGGCAGATCATAGAAGCAGTTGCCAACCCAAAGAAAGCTGGAGCAGCTACATGGGGTCAGGCAGAATGTTCTTGAAGACAAAAGTGTTAACAGGGCCAGAGAGGGACAAGGCACCATGGCAGAGCATCCAATTCATGAAAAAGGCTTCACAATTTCAAATATGCGTATGCCCAATAAAATAGCCTCAAAATCTAGAATGAAAAATTGATAGAACTTCAAAGCTAAATCCACCATTTTTCTGTTAGATTTCAATAAATCTCTTTATATTGATTAAGGTCAACTAGACACCCCGATTAGCAAGAATACAGAACTTGAACAGGGTTAGCAACCGTGACTGTCCTTTATCCAGGTAAGATTTCACTTTTTCTTTCAATTCTTTCACATCCTTATGAGGTAGATGTATCTTTTGCTAGAAATATAGGTGCAGAAGTTCAATCTGAAATACTAGCAATTGAGCCCAACCCTGTATAAAGATGAAATTAAATTGAGTTTATCCCAGACATGAAAGGAAGATTTAATATTGAAAAACTTATTTAAAAAAGTAATTTAGCACATTAAAGTTATTTAAAAATGATCATTTCAATAAATGCAGAAAATTGGAAAAAATTTAGTACCTATTCACAATAAAAACTCTTTTTAAAGTAGGAATAGAAGGTACAATTTTGACCTAATAACGAGTATCTACTGGGAAAAAAAACAAACCCTGGTGTGACCGCTACCATTCTAAATGGAGGAATGTGAACACGCACTTGAACATCAGGGCTGAGATACGGAGAGCTGGTGAGTGGAGCGTGGCATGTTCACACCCTGGGACATGGGTGTGAAAGAGCTGCAGCGACACACAGCAGGGTGGATAAATCACAGCCACGCTGCACTGCGACGCAGACACGGGCACAGGGATCCCCTGGGAGAAACACAAATGCAAGCAGAGGAGCCCTGTGGAACCCTGTCCCCGTGAAACAACCACAACTGCTAAAAATTATTTTATAAACTATTATTTGAAGTCTCTGGAAATTGTCCCAAAGGCATACAGCCAAGAAACATGTGTCGAAGAAAATCTTCTAAAACTAGATGAGCACAGTGAGTCTGTGGCACTTGAGATAACACTGGTGTTCCCCTACCCTGTCCCCAAGGTGATGGGAGCTCCATTGCGGGTGTTGTGGTCCAAGTGCTGGCTTCTGTCACTCAATACAATTAGGCTGCGATTCACCCATGTTTGTTGTGTGCATATCCACAACTCACTCCTTTTTATCACCGAGTAATATTGTTTGTGTGGGCATCCCACGACCTCAGTGCCAATGTTTTATTGGGCGTATCTAACTGGACACACACTGCCTGGTGGGGTTTAGAGGACAAGCCTTTTCGGAGGCACAGGAGCTCAATGCCAGGGCTGGTCCCCACCTGAGGGGGTGGGTGAAGCCTGTTCCGGGGAGAACAGCCCTTCCCAGGGCTCTGCCAGCTGCCACCGTGAAGCACGGTGTCGACCCTGATTTCCTTTAGATCAAAGTGCAGCTAGCTAAATGCTTGCCACCAAAACCCAATGTGATGTGCTGCGGAGATGTGACAACTGCTTTCCTCACCACAGCAGGGTGGTCGCTCGAGAAGGGCCTCACTTTGTGTGCATGAAGTCGGGGTGTGCAAAGGGACTTCCATGGCCTGTCCTGTATTGGCCTCTAGTACCTTGTGTTTTAAATACAATCGATTTAGGGGAATCCGTGGAAATAACGCTAGCGGAAGCGTTACACCAGCTGAAATTATGTTGTCACTCCCCGCCTCCCCACCATACAGGTACCCAAACACAGAGATTCCAGCAATGTCCTGGAAGCCGGACCCCGGCAGCACTGGCACAGAACTAGGGACCGGAGCAAAACTGTCTATTGTTTCAATTGTCGGAGTGATGATGCCTCTTTGGGGCTTTGTTCTCTAGTTAGGATTTGTCACTCTCTATTTTTTTTGTGAAAATAAGGACATACATCAACTCTGAAAGTTCCTGACAAACTCCGAACACCTTTGCCTGCAATGTTCCGTTGCTTTGAGGGTACGAGGAGGAGAATGCATGCGGAAGAAAGCTCAAAACCCTGCAACATCCTGGGACATGTCGTAGGGATGATGACTCCACATCCAGACAAAGCCACCAGGAGCATCAATCGTCCCCAGATCGTCTGGGGTCCAATCATCAGAAACACTGTTTTCAGAGAGAAAAATGACAAAACGAAAGAAAACTTGTATCCACTGGATCACTCATAACAAACTGGCTAATCGGTGTCATCAATTCAAACATTTAAGGTAGTTAAGGTAGGTGAATCTTAGCTAAGTCTTAACTAGTTAAGATGAGTTACTGCATAAGAAAATCAAAACACCCTAAATTATACAGCTCTTGTATAAAGAACTTGATAGACATCTCCTAAAACTTGGTGACGATATTAAAAGGGTATCCTAGGGCATTGCCAACCATCACTTCTAAAGCTAAAAGCAGTGTTAAAAAGAATAAGACAAAAAATTTTAATCAACCATCTCAGGAAAAAAATGAACATATCTTTTTTTGTTTTCTTTGCGGAGAGTGATATAATGAAATCATTGTCACTTGAAGAGAGAAGACCAACAAGCATGTACCAAAGGGAAATACATTAGAAAGGTTGTCAGGCAGTTAGTTAATAGATATCTTATGGTATTTCCCCCAAATTTGTATTGTTTGTAGTATCTGTTGGCTTTTTGGGTGTATAATTTGTTGTGACTTCTATTCTCATTCTAAATAGATATTCTCTTTTTTAAGAGGATGTCAAAACTGTAGAAACTTCAAGCCCCATAAAATCTAGGCCCACCTCTAGTTTTCAACCTGTTATTTTGCTACGTAATAACATTAGGAACTAAATCAAAGTCAACCAAAGTGGCCTACTATCTACCTGAATCATCAGTTCATAAACTAACATGTATTTTAGCCTGAAAAATAGGAAAAAAATTGTACTGGAATAAGAGACACCTTAATATAAGATTCATGAAAACAAAATGTATGTTGCCCTCACTTTCCCTTTATTTCTCTGGGGAACTTGGGACAGAGATGATGTCTCCCCATTTTTTAGTCATTGGTTGCCCCATTGGCAGCAGGTGGGCTCTGACGTCCCCACCCAACACTAGGGTGGCCTGTCCACGTGCCTCCCAGCTGCACACCCAGCACCCCACAGGCCTGAGGGCCAGCAGCACCTCCCTCCCTGGGACTGGCCTCACATCCCTCCCTATCAGAGTGGCCCAACACGAAGCTCTGGTGTTGCCCCAAATGGAGTTTAGCCTACAGGGCAAGAGCTCTTTCCTTCTGGCTGCCTCTGTGATCAAAGAGGGCCCTGCTCAGCTCCAGGTGTCCCAGCCTGGTTCATCATCAGCCTCTCTCCCGGGACTTGGGAACTAACATGAGGGCCACTGGTGACTTGAAATACTTGGATCAGACAGTAGCATGGCGTGAGCTTGTCCTCTAGTTGCCACCGCTATCATAGGGTGGGTAACTTAGTAACTGGCCTGGTCAGGGCCTTGCTCCTGGTGAGCAGCAGCCAACCAGAGTCCACCCTCTGGCCCTGGCCCATCTCCCTCCCTCCCCAGGCGCTTTGCTAACTGGGACGGTGGGTGTCAGGAAGAGGCTCTCACTGGTGAGCTTGGCAGTACCGTCACTTCCTTTGTGTGAACACGGCCTGCAAGCCTGGGTCCTGGGGCTGCACAGAGGGTCCTGATCCGCCCAGCCTTGGTCCAGCCGCTGGGTGGGTAGTTCTTGGTCACTGGACTCCTGTAGGTGACATGCCACGTCTCCCCACTGGGATGCAGTTGTATTTGTCTCTGGTGAACTTTTCATCCAGGATATTTTCAGAGCCCTAGAAAAACCGGAAGCTGAGACTCTCCTGGGCCTGTGTATTAATAAAGCCTATTAGTAGATGACCTTCACCTACCTTGACTTTTAGTGGTTTCTAATTCTTACCAAAAATAATCAAATTGTACAAGACAAGTCAGTATTATCCAGCTCCCAGTGAAGCCTTGTGTTGGTTTCCTCTGAGAAGATGGGGACCACATTAGATTCTGTCCACCAGGGAGAGGCCCAGGGGTCCTGATGGCCATGCATGGTCACCAGCAGGCGTGATCCTTGGGCCTTCGTGTTGCCTTGGGCTCTAGCGTGCTGGGCTGCTGCTGTGTGGCTGACACCTGTGTGCTGCCCACCTGGCTGGGCCAGAGCTGGCATCCAAGGCTGCTCTCTACAACCTGTTTCAACCCCGGGGCAGGTACAGCCTTGGCCTCTGCTGTTCTAATCCCTGTGACTGAATCACCAGGCTTCTCGGATTAATCCAGAACTATGTCCCCATTTTGGCAAGATATACTTGGTAAGTTGAGTTACCAAGAGAAGGCATGGATCAGACCAGACCATACACCCTCTGTTTGGGGTGCACTGGGTCTAGTCTGTGTCACAGCATTCACATTCATGGATAAATTTATTTATTTATTTATTTATTTTTGAGACGGAATCTCACTCTGTTGCCCGGGCTAGAGTGCCGTGGCGTCAGCCTAGCTCACAGCAACCTCAAACTCCTGGGCTGTAGCCATCCTCCTGCCTCAGCCTCCCGAGTAGCTGGGACTACAGGCATGCACCACCATGCCTGGCTCATTTTTTCTATATATTTTTAGTTGGCAAATGACTTTCTTTCTATTTTTAGTAGAGTCTGGGTCTTGCTCTTGCATAGGCTGGTTTCGAACTCCTGACCTTGAGTGATCTGCCCGCCTCAGCCTCCCAGAGTGCTAGGATTATAGGGATGAGCCACCGCGCCCGGCCTCATGGATAAATTTAAAGTAACAATAGTCCTAACGATTAGCTGCAATTTCTTGACTGTTTCATGCACCTTTATTTTATCAGTACTCAAGGTGTTTGGAGGGCCACAGTGGGTGCCCGGGAACTTTTCAGGTGTCTACTGGGTCCTCCCTTTCTCATTTGCACACCTGCACGAGGCTGGGCTCTGGGCGCAGACTTCAACCAAAGCGACGTAGTCAACAGACTGAGTGAAAAGTGGATGCCGGATCCAGCTTCTTCTGCTAAGGCAGACATTAAATGAAGGGATTTGCAAAAATGTAAAAGAAGGCCACTCTTCTCACTTTTCTGAATTTTGGAAAGTATAGTTATTTTTCATAAAAATGTGGCATTTATGTTATCATGTAGTGAGTTATTGTTTTAAGAAAGATTAATGTATATTTAAAACAGTTGTCAGTTTTACTTGTGAATACAGTAAATATTGATCAATATAACGCATATAAACAAGAGTCCTTTGAGGCCCTCAGTGATTTTGAAGAGTGGAAAGGATCCCCACCCATGCACGACAGTGAGCTGCTGCCCTGTCGGTGGGGACCTCATCGTTTGCCAGGCTTTCTGGCCATCCTTCATCTGACATGTTTCTGAAGCAAGTGAGGGCAGTGACACTCAATACACATCAGCTATTATTATTAATAGCTGTTTATTTATCTTATGCACTTGTGATGTGGCTATTGTAGCATTGAACAGAAGAGTAAACCGAGACAAAGAGGACAGAACAAATGCCCAACCAAGGTCATTCACAGCAAGTGATGGGGCTGAGATGGCAGCCACAGCTTGTGCTACTCCAAAGGCAACGTAGAGCTATTAGTTGATAGCTGGAGGAATATCTCTGATCTGTGTAGCTGTCAACCTAGAACTGTTGAATTATCTACATACTGTAGAGCATGGTGTTTAAACACAGACATATGCACTCAGTAAATAATTTAAAACTGAGCTCTTATTAAAGGGCACATCTTAGATTATTCTGGAAACTTGAGCATATCCTCCTAGGTGGTATTTTTATATCAATCGCTTCAGTCGGCTGATTGTAAGAGATTTAAAATTGGGGCTGAACGATGAGGGATTGTGGATGTTGGCTGAGGGTAGGAGATTAGATTTGTGCTCTACCAAATGAAATATGAAATTGAAAAGTTATTTAAAGATGTGAAAGCTCTACTGAATAGAATAACATAGAATAACAAAGTTGGTACTGGACGGGAATACCAAGATTTTTCTTCAAAAATGTGGATGCATGAGAAGCTAGCTATAGAATGACATTTCTACATTTCACCACCTACATTTCATCAACGTATCAGTTGCTTAAGGAGTAAACTGAGGTGTCCCTATGTAGAACTTGGACTGAGTAGTACCTGGCTCACAGCTCTGCTGTGGGGGTTCCATGCTCCAATGTCTGTGAATCCCTCCACACGTGGCCCCAGTGGGGACACTGCTGAATCGTCACAATTCTTACTGGTGTGACGAGCAGTGGTTCACGTAAAGTGAACATGCATAGCTCTACACACCTGCCTACCCGAACATGTTTCTTCTAATCTCTGTAGATATACACACAAGAGTTTTGATGTATTTACTCTGTTAATCAGCCTTTACCTGATGGTTCAGATGAGATGACAGAGCGCCGGCTTGACTGCTCCAATGAGCTGGCAGGGCAGATGCAAAATTAAAGTGAGACCTGTAAAACCAGCATCCTGCAGGACCTCTTTAGTGGTTAAAAAAGGAAATCTACGCACCAAGGGTCTGACATGGGCTGCGTAGTCTGCTCGATGCTGGGGTCCACCCCTGAATGAGATAGATGTGGTCATGGTATCTTCTCTCCTGGAACCTGTCACCTGATGAGGGTCCCCGAAGGATCTCAAGCTCTGGGAGAGGAAAGTGGGGGGCTAGTACAGGGTCATCCTGGGCTTAAGGACACTTCTTGTCTTTTTATAACTATTCATGCTACCACTGGAAACACACAGCTGGTGAAGGGCAGGCAGCACTGTCAGCCTGCAGTGTCATCCTCGGACGGGAAGTGCCATTTCCTACACATCGATTAGGGCTTTCTAGACCTCCCTGATGCTGCGCTGCCCCATGGCCACAACAGGAGGGAAATGGAACCCTATCCAGATGCCCTTGACTTTCTCAATCTCTCGCTCATTGGGTTTCTTTCTCTGATTGGGCTAAGTCTCCCACCCCGGGGGTAGCGCAAGGACAGAGAGGGTGCTGGGACCCTCGGGGATCGCAACAGGTCTCCACTCCCATCTCTCTTGTAACCTGCCCTTTCTCGTCCATGGTCAGCGGGAGGGAGCTTCTGCGATGACTCAGGCTTCTGAAACATCTCTCACGTTCTCTCTACTGATGGACTCTCTAGCTCCTCATGTATGAGGGGAGTGTCTGAGATTTAGAAACCTCTTTTCTCTCTCCACGGTTCTGCCTTTACTTCTCCGGTCTCAATGGACCAGAGACTTCAAAAAATCCATTTTCACAGCCATACCTGATTAATGACTCCACTGTTTAACTGGTATCTGTCTTTATCCTGAAGCAATGAAACTCATCCATTCAGTAGTGCGAGATCCACAATGCATTAGGAAACAGGGCAGATAAAAAGTACAGGTGTTAATTGTTTCATCAATACTGTATAGTAGGGACCAAGGCCCTTGGCTCCTTAAAGGCTCTCTGAAAAATAAATCACTGACATGGGGCAGATTGATTAATAGGAGAAAAGGCACACAAATGTATTTAGTTGATGTACATACGTGGGAGACTTCAGAATGAAGACTCAAAGATACAGAGGAAATTGTCCATTTTTGTGCTTAGTATGATAAAGCATGGACAGCCATGTACAGATATGATTGGACAAAAGGGTATGACCTGTGCTAACAGACTAAGTGGGGACACCCAGCAAGGCCTGTCTAGTTCCTCTTGTCCTCTCTGCACAGTGTTCCTCCCTTGTCTGGGGGCAGGAATGGGGGTCTTAGGAACTACAGTCAAACCATGTAGATCAGCTAATTTCTTTATAATCAGTTTTTACACAGAATGAGTTTAGGTTTTATGGCTGGCTTTGGGGGAAAGCGGTTCTGGCTTTTATGACCTGCCCACCTTAGGGAAAGGGGTTCTAGTGTCCATGGGACTTCCTCAGGGAAGGATGGGACTGGGAGACAAGGTGTCAGGAGAGTGTCAGAGAAAAACTTAAGCTTCTGAGGTTGCTTCTGCGGCTTTCGTTTTGGCCTGCCATTTTTCTGAGCTCCAACAGTATCCATTGCATTAACATAAAAATTAAAGTAGCAAAAACTCAAAGAAGAGAAGGAAATTCATATAAAAATAGCTTCAGTGTGAGGAAACAAAAACAGCTCAAACAAAACTATAGAAATAGCTTAGAAAATCTTGGAGAGCAAATGTGGTGATTGCTTTAG